TTGATTATCCCCAATACCCTAGACTTTTACATTTATTAAAACTTATCTTTGTCATTTTAGTTATTCTCTTTTCTTCCTTACAACTTTATAGTTTGAAAGTATTTAACTAGTAGAACAATTTATTTGTTTGAAAGTTTTTACTAGTAGAACAACTTGTAGTTTGAAAGTATTTAACTAGTAGAACAATTTATTTGTTTGAAAGTTTTTACTAGTAGAACAAATTTTAGTTTGAAAGTATTTACGAGTAAAACGATTTTATCGTTAGAAAGTATTTACTAGTAAAACGACTTTATCATTTGAAAGGTTTTCCGAGTAAAATGATAGCATTTATGTTACTTTTAATTTAGTTTAAAACCCCATTATTAAATTGAATTAGAATGTTTAGGAATATTTTCTCTTTTGTGAATTGAATAAACATACAATTTAATCCAGCTAACCTTCCTTAGAGAACGACCCGAGTCGGGTAACTCGGTTATTACTTGCCCAAAAATATTACCAACACTGACCCTTTTCTGATCCTCTTTCGCAAGCGCAATCTGGTGGTAGCCTTGTGACGCGTCCATCATGCTGAGGAGCTCACATCCTGCCGTTGAGTCCACAGTTGATCGATCCGTGGTAACGGGTAGTGATCCTTAGGGCAGGCTTTATTCAGGTCTCGAAAGTCTATACACATCCTCCATTTGTTCAACTCCTTCTTCACCATGACTGCATTCGACAGCCATTCCGGGAACTGAATTGGTTTGACATGCCCCGCTTGTAGCAGCTTGTTTACTTCTTGCTCAATAATTAGGTCCAACTCGTGTTCAAAGTGTTGGCGTTTCTGCTTCACGGGTCTTACCCTCTGGTCGATGTTCAAATGGTGTACTGCCAGATGTGGGCTGACACCCGTGAGTTCTTCTGGGGTAAAGGCAAAGACGTCTACGAACTCCCTCAGCATTTGTACCATCTTCTTTTGTACCTCTTGTGGAAGGTCCTTCCCGATGCGGGTAGTCTTTCCCTCTACGCCCTCGACCAGCTCGATCTCCATCAGCTCGTCTTGTGTAGTCATCTCCACTTTCGGTCGTTTCTCGGGTCGATCCTCCTTCCCATCGAGTCGATCTTTGCTCTCCTCCCTTCTTCCGTTAGATTGTCCTTCTTTGAGCGTGACCTGATAGCACCTTCTTGCGATTTTCTGATTGCCAACGACTTCTCCCACCTTATCGCCGACTGGGAATTTCATCTTCATGCAGTACGTTGAGATGGCCGCTTGAAAGGTGTTGAGGCTTGGCCGCCCCAATATAACGTTATACGCTGAACTTGTCTCCACCACCAAAAAAGGGATCATTTTCACTTGTCTAAGGGGTGGTTCCCCTAGTGCCACAGGTAGCGTCACTTCGCCTCGAGGGATAACTTCGACGCCACTAAAACCATACAAAGCCGTTCGCACCGGTTGTAGCGACAATCCCAGTTCCATTTTATCCAAGCAATGCGTAAAGATTATGTCTACCGCGCTCCCCGTATCCACGAAGACCCGCTCTACATCATAGTTCGCTATCTCGGCCGTGACTACCAATGCATCATTATGCGGCTTAGCAACATCTCTAAGGTCTGAGGGTCCGAACTGGATGAGCGGTATTTCCTCTGCAATTTGCACTTCTCCGCCTTGTCTATCTTCGCCGAGAGATCTTGCGTGACGCTTCCTTGCTTGGTTGGAGTCTCCGTCCGTAGGTCCACCCGATATCATGTGGATCACCCCTTTCTTCCTGGGTACCGGGCCGGTCTCCTCATCGCGTCCCCGTTTCTCCACCTCTTTCTTATCTCTCCCTTGGTCTTTATCCTTTAAGATGAACTCCTTAAGGTGTCCTGTGCGTATCAGCCTCTCTATCTCATCTCTCAACTCTTTGCAGGTGTCCGTCCTATGTCCATGGTCCCTATGGTACCGACAGAAAGCGTTCGGCAGCCTGCTCAACGGCATCCCATTCCTTTTCGGGAGGGGTCGAGGTTGATCTAGCCACGATAGGTTACCCTTCCTCTCCAACACCTCGAAGACTTGCTCCCTCGTCGCGGCCAATGGTGTATACCGATCGAACCTTTGTCCTGGCTTCCAATTTCTTTCCTCTACCTGCTTACCCTCGCGTCCTCCTCTACGATCATCACCTCGGGGAGGCTTTCGCTCATCTCTCTTGTCTTTCTCCTTCTTAGGTTCGCGCTGTATGAAGTCAGCTTGTGATTCTTCCATGTTGATGTACTTGTTACAACGTCCTAGCAACTCATCATAAGATTCAGCCGGTCGCTTAGCAAGCGAGTCTCTAAATGGACCCGGTCGTAACCCTCTCGTCAGTCCTCCGGCTTTGATCTCCTCTGTAGCTCTCGGCACCTCGACGCACTCCCGCGTGTACCTATCTACGTAGGCTCTTAACGGTTCATTTTCCCTTTGCTGCATGTTGATTAACGATAAGTATGTTTTCTCATGTTTTCGAGCGCTTGAGAACTGGTTGACAAACATCGAGCTGAATCCTTTGAAGTCTTTTATGGTTCCAGGTGCCAGTTGATGGAACCAATCTTCGGCCGGTCCTTTTAGCGTGGTTAACAAAGCTTGGCAGCATACTGGATCGCTGTACTTGTGCAACACCGCTATGTTTTCGAAGCTTCTTAAGTGCCTTGTGGGATCAGTCGACCCATCATAGTATATCTGTAGCTTGCGGAACCCGGTCGGCAGTTCAGCATCGATCACGTCAGCCGTGAAGGGATGTCCATGGATCGTAGGCCCCGAGCTCCTGTTTCCGACTTTCTCCTGCAGCTCGCGAAGTTGCGCCGCCATCTGTTCTATCAATGGATCTCGGCTCGCCGGAGAGATAGGGTCTCGCCTCGTTTGCGATGTGGGTGCAGGTGAGTGAACGGATCTTTCAGCTTCGACCTCCCTTGATACTTCGCGCTGCCCCATGGCTTGAGCATGTTGTTCCGCAGGTCGAAACGGCTGCTCCACAGGTCGAGTCCTCCCACCTGCTGGCGAAGGAGTGCGCGCCGCTACCGCCTCCGCAATCATCCTTTCCAGTTCTGATCTAGTGATGTGCAACGTCGGTTCGGGGGCGCTAGGTTGATTTTGAGGATTCACCGTCGGTCCTTCTCGTCCGCCTGTTATCACCGGGATGTTGGGTGTTTCCATCTCCGTCGTCGCTTGACGTCTAGCCTCTGGAGCGGGTGTCCTAGGTGGTTCCTCGCCTGGAAGCCATTCCCGCGGCGGCCCAGTTCCCATTGGCCGGGTGTGCAACCATGAAATATCCTCCCCTTTCTCTCTGCAAGGTGTGTCTTTATCTCCCATTTTTACTTACCAAATGAATTTCTTTGTTGTGAGAGTACCACCAAGCCACCGGTTGAGCTGGGGTCCCACAGACGGCGCCAATTTGATAAGGTTCCGGGTAAGCAGCTCCGGTTCAGGACGGTTCTTGGCTCAAGGGTGCGTCTTCCTCTCCCCGGTTTCTAGTCTGGGATGGAGCTCGTGAATACCTGCAAAGTACGCCAGAGGTTTTCCGGCGTAAAACCCTCCAAAGCTTAAGTTAGTATTTGGGAGATGAGTAGGGAATAAGATGAACAGTAATGGTGTTTTGGTTGTTGAATAATAAATGTCACCTAACCTCAAAATTAATGTTTCAATACGTATATATAGGTGTAATCCCATGCGTGGATATTAGGGGTGTTCACGGTCCGGATTGGTCCGGTTTTAGCCCAAACCATGACCAAACCGGACCTAACGGTTAATTTTTTTTCTTGTCCATAACCGGACCGGTTTTATTTTTTAACCGACCATAATCCGGACTGCATTGGACGGTCCGGTTTGGCAGTTAACCGGTTAAATCCAAAACTTGTTTTGGGCCTTCAATTTTTATTTTTTTCATTTTGGGCTTAATTTTTGTTTTTCAATTTTGGGTCATAAAGAGATTATTTGGGCTTAAAAATTAAGAAAAACAACAATAATGAAATAAAAAGTACACAATTCGTCTCATAAGCATAAAAATGCATATTTCCTCCCATAAACATAAAAATACAAAAATGATGAAGATTAATTATGCAAACTGAACTCAAGCAAACATTCATTTTTCAGTCAGTTTATACACTTGAAATAATAAGAGCAAAGCATTCATAGTGAATGTATTGTATTTGTCGGCCATAGTGAATGACTGAATGTATATATATATATTTATTATAATTTTTTAATATTTACCGATCCGGTCCGGTTAAACCGGCGGTTTGCCGCAGGTAATCCGTTAACCGAACCGGTTATTCCGGATTTTTAAAAAAATTAACCACCGGATTTTTTAAGGCTTTTTTAACTGACCATTTAACCGATCCGCGGTCCGGATTGACGGTTTTTTCAGGTTAAAACCGGACCGTGAACACCCCTAGTGGATATCTTGAAATATTATTTACATACAAGTCCGGGGATCGAGCCTCAGAGCTCGATCATGCAAGGCTAGGGATCGAGCCTTATAGCTCGATCACATATTAGTCGGGGGTCGAGCCTATGAGATCGACCATGCTATAGGATCGATCCAGGCTTGTCTGTACGGGTCTCTTGTTCTATCTAAACCGGTTTGGTTGCGACGGTTTTATGGTTCCCTATCACACGGCATCTCCCATAAATGTACAGCCTTACCATCTTTGATTTGATATATCAATCCCTGCATGAAACTTTCCAGTTGCCCATAACCATGAGCTACTTTTTTTCTGTCTTGCTGTGAGCAGAGTGCCATCATGAAAGTATATGCCTTTTAAAATCCTGCTAACTAGGATTTTATTAAATTTCTTCATCTTTCTAATTAAAAGCATGCTCTAAATGTTATAACGTTGGAAGGCACTCATTCTAATGCGCCCCACATTGATATTTTCTCCACCGCCCCAACAAACATCCAAGTTAAATGACAAATTGACAACAGTAGTTTACTAATCTGTACACACCGCTTATAGAAAATTGAAAATAACATATAAAAATCCATAATGCTGCCTACCACACTTATTATTATTTTTTTTTTTTTGGCTTGGACACATTCGAAACATGTGGGCATTGCTATCATATTCCTGCATTATTATAATATCGTTTGGACAAACTTAATCCATCCATCATATTCTCCATCAAAACCCAATCTTTTGAAGGAAAAAAAAGAACAACCCAAAAATAGATACAGCTGATAAGCTAATTAAGGACGCCCTGGTTAAGGATAGCAATGGAAATGGAGAATGGAAACAAAACGTGGAGGTTTACAGGAAACGATAAGCTGATTATAGATACAACTGATACTATTGGAGGCACTCTCTACTGGCTGCGCAAGACCTGCGCCGACAACGAAGACGAGAGGCCATTGATTCCGCTCAGCAATGGCGATCCCGCTATTTTTCCCTGCTTCCGGACAAGTCTCACCGCCGAATCTGCCGTGGTCGATGCCCTTCAGTCCGCCAAATTCAACACTTATTGCCCTTTCTTCGGTATGCTTCCGGCTAGGAGGTAAACAGTAAACTAACCTTTTTCCCAACATTTTGAATTTTTTTGACTTAGGGTTGAGTATTCACTGAAACGAGTGTTGGATGAGACAGAGCAGTGGCAGAGTATCTGTCGGTGGACCTTCCTTATGAGATCTCGCCGGACGATGTGTATATGACCCTCGGGTGCACGCAGGCTATCGAGGTTATAGTGACGGTCCTCGCTACTCCTGGTGCCAACATTTTGCTCCCAAAACCGGGCTTCCCGACTTTCGAGGCCCGATGTGACTTCAGCGGGCTTGAGTACCGTCATTTTGAACTCCTGCCCGACCGCGGATGGGAGATGGATCTGGATGCAATTGAATCTCTTGCCGATGAAAACACAGTGGCTATAGTTATCATCAACCCTGGGAGCCCGTGCGGGGTTGTTTTCTCCTACGACCATCTCAAGAAGGTACTGATTTCTAGCGGAGATTTGAATTGTGCTACTTTTGAACTGTAATTTGCTCAAGAAGGTACTGATTTCTAGCGGAGATTTGAATTGTGCTACTTTTGAACTGTAATTTGCTCAAGAAGGTACTGATTTCTACTGGGGATTTGAATTGTGCTACTTTTGACCTGTAATTTGCTCAAGAAGGTACTGATTTCTACTAGGGATTTGAATTGTGCTACTTTTGAACTGTAATTTGGAGGCCCGGCCCGAATTTCTACACTCACTGTCTTATACTGCTGCTTTAAGCTCTGTAGTCCAAGTTGTATGAATTTGTGAACTTTTGTCATGTGTTTTAGGTGGCGGAGATAGCGAGGAAGCTTGGGATTGTGGTGATTTCGGATGAAGTTTACGAGCACCTCACGTTTGGGGAAACCCCGTTCGTGCGGATGGGGATTTTCGGATCGATTGTGCCTGTTATCACACTTGGCTCTTTGTCGAAGAGATGGGCCGTGCCAGCCTGGCGGATGGGCTGGCTGGCGACGTGTGATCCCTGTGGTGTTCTCCGGGGAACTCAGGTTTGGTCTTCCCTCAGCTAGTCTTTGATTCTAATTTTGTTTCAACGAGATAAGTTTGAGTTCAATCATGACAACAATTGAACTGATTGATCATTCGTATGTCGGTTGTGTTGATGGCCTGATCAGATGAGAGACCAAATAATGGCCTGCCTCAGTCTTTACTCAGACCCAGCAACCTTTATTCAGGTCAGGTAGTATTATTTTGTTTTAATAGTAAATTGCAAGTTTTGTTCTCGAGGCTTAAAATTGCGATAGTTTGTTTTGGTATCCATAATTCATTTTCTGGGTCCTACTAGAACTTACACTTAAACTTAGGGTGTGATTGGATATGGATCTGATTTGGTTTTGATTTTGGTTTTTTTCTTTTTAACCATGGTTAGTTTTGAAAAAGTTGTTGGGTTAGGTTTGAGTAAAATTTTGAGTTTGTATTAAAATAATACTTAAAAAAAATGATTAAAATTGATTTGACGTAAAAGTGATAGATAATTAAAATTATGTGAGTTGATAAATAGTGAAATATAGTTGATGTGATGTGTAAACATGATTAGTTAATATATTTAATTATATTGATAATATTGATGATAGAGTGGTAAAGTTAAATTTGAGTTTTGATTGTTTTTTTTTTTTTTTTTTTTTTTT